GACGTGTTGTTTAAATAAGTCATTTATATATATATATATATATATGTTAAATAGTAGTGGACCGAGTACTGTTCCTTGAGGAACACCACAGGTTATAATCTTAGGATCACTTAAGGTACCGTTAATATCGACTAATTGTGTTCTGATATAAAGATAGCTCTTCATTAAATTGTAGACTACGCCCCTAAACCCAATGTGTTCTATTGTTTCTAAAAGTTTTTGATGGTTAACAGTTAACATTACAAGCACACATCACCAATACCATCCAGAGTGGTACAAGAATCCACACTGCACGATACCAGCATATCCTTAACTGCATGTCTGATACACCTGTTAGCTTACACTCATCATTAGCCACATAACTTACATCTGAAGCACTAGGAGGCCATTAGAAAAGCTATAGCTTACCAGGTACTTAGGACTAGTAAGGTAGGATTGATCCATTTAGTCTGTGGCCACAACATCACTACTTACAATAGAACAAATTAGAGATACTTATTATAGTTTTTTAAACTAACTTAAATATATATAAACTTACCCATAATTGCATGAAGCCACTTGATTCAATCAAATTTTACCTGGTAGCCAAAAGTGTCGACACTAGCGGTAGTTTTATCTATCTCCCTATTTATCTCAATTTGTATTATATGGTTGCATTTATAACAGGAGATGGTTATAATTATGCCTTGATTTACTCTATACATATCTATTGAATTACGTTTAAGTTAATTACTAAAAGAATAAAACTAAACAATCAAGAAATATTATTTTAATATTTATTTACCAAACCTTTTCTTCCCTGAGATAAAAGGTAGAACCCACGATTGCCGCATTAAGGCGAAACCTTTTGCAGCTAACAGATTGATACAACACAGATTCTTGATCAACTGATGATACACACAGTGCTGTTACATTGCCATTTCCTTGTTTATTATGAGACTTTTATAAAACAATGAAACTATAAATATGGTGAAAGTTTAAACATAAAAATACTTTTTTTATATTTAAAAGATATTTATTTAACGATATTTTAGAAGTCTAATAGTAAGACGGTGCATACAAACGGACGTACATTACTTCTCGTATACCGTCTAACCTGCAACGTTATGTCGCTAGTTCCTATTGGTCTATTCCCAGCTACGTCATAAATTTTGAAAAATTAATACCTCTGACAAATGAATAGATAAAAAAATTAAACGTAGCTTTATTGTTAAAAGTATTACTAAAAAAAAAAAATTTAAAAATTTTTAAACATGCATTATTTATACCGCCTGTTTAGTTTCAAAATCCATCTATAAAAAACATGTATCAAATTTTTTATCTGTCTTATTAGGGCTAAATAAAACCCTCATAGTTTAAAAAATAAATGTTTTTTATCTTGTCACGTTTTATCTTTGAATTAAACCTTGACAAGTTCTAATGTTTTTTAGCAATAGTGCATATTATTTAAAAAATGTTCAGTTCGTTTGCCTTCCTTAATAAATTTAAAGCTAAGGTTAAGGCTTCAAAATTATCCCACACAAGCTTTAAATGTACCTGTACAAAACTAAGTGCTTCTGACTTTGCTTACCTGTCTTCGTATGACAATGTTTGCCATATACCTTATATCTCAGTATCTCATTTGCACACTGAACTATTTCTAACTGGAATACTATCGCATATTTACACAATATAACAAAAATTACACAATATGACAAAAATTAAATAAATTAATGACTATACACAAGCAAATAGTACCGAAACAGCTTTACAATTTTATGAGCTGCGAAAACTTACAAGAAAATAAATCAATTCTACCTTGCAGGTTGTTGCAGGTTTCACACATAAAATACAACGGCGAGTTTTTTAATAAATTTGTCCGAGATAGCGGGAGATAAAACATTAAGTTGTTCCGAGATTCAATTCTTGGCACTTTAAATACAAGTTGTTCTAATAACTCGGAACAATCAATTTGGTAGTTAATAAGTTTATAGAGGAATATTAATGACTGATTTTTTCGTCTACATTCTAAGCTTTGCATTTGAAATCTATTTAAAAGTAACGTGTGATTTATCGGGACGGTGGTGTAGCAGTCTAACGCGCTTATATTCATTTATAGGCAAGTTTATGAGTCCGAGACTGCTGGGCTTCGAATCCCAGACCAGACCATGTGGATTTTTAATTAAATTGCATGGTTCGGTTTAGGATTTGATGTGTGCCGTATTAATAGAAATTCAATTTCTGTTAATATGACATGCAGATTATAAAATCGCCATGCATTACCGTCTCGGTGATGGTGGGTGAGGTTTTCCGGGTTTTTCTCACCTGTAAGTCAAATGGCACCTTCAATCATCTTTAAGTCGCCCCGGAGCGCCACGGCAAATAATAATATTAGCCGTCCCTTTCCCCGCACAAGCTCAGCTTTTGGGGTTAAAATTCACTCGTAAGGGGGTGGATTAGGGAGAGTATTATTATTATTATTATTTTTATTATTATTATTATTATTATTATTATCCCAATTGGTGGATATGTTCCGTCTATCTTAAATGTCAAGAATTTTAGATATTGTCTTTGAACATTTTCAAGAGCGCTTATGTGAATATCATAAAATGATTTCCATATTATTGAAGCATATTCTAATTTTGATTTTACGAACGCATTGTACAACATATTCATGGTTTCGACAGAATTGAGGTCAACTGCATGACTAATGAAAAATCCCAAATTTATGAATGATGCTTTTATCACGTCATTTAGATGTTCATTAAAAGTAAGTTTTCTATCGAACTCCACCCCAAAATCTATAACAAAATCAGGCCTATTTAATATAACACCATTCAAACAGTAGTTATAGAGAATTGGAAAATCTTTTTTGGCATGTGACACTATTTTACATTTTTTTGAATTTAATGGAAGATTATTTATTAAACACCAATTATTTATTTTATTAATATTACTTTGTAATTTAAGACAATCATTTAAGATATCTAACTGATAAAAAAAATTTGACATCGTGTGCTTAAATTAAAAATTTTACGTTAACGTCATTAATGATATCACTTACGAATAGTATAAATAAAAGCGGTCCCAGAATCGAGCCTTGAGGTACGCCAGAGGTTACTAAGATACCGACAGACTCAAATCCACGCACTTCAACAAACTGGGTTCTGTTTGTCAAGTAAGATTAAAAAAAATGTATGACAGGCTTGGACAATCCAAACTAAGCTTTTGAAGTAATATTCTATGATCGAGTTTGTCGAAAGCTTTAGAAAAATCTGTATATATTACATCTAGTTGATCGTTGCCATCAAATATTGTAGAACTGTATTGTGTAAATGAGAATAAATTTGTTATTGTTGACCTGTTTTTACAAAAACCATGTTGTTCGTCCACTATCTAATGTTTGACGTATGGTATTATATTATCCTATAGTAAAATTTCAAAAACTTTGGCAAAATTACATATAATAGTGATCGGTCGATAGTTCTCGATACAATTTTTTTTTACCTTTTTTAAAAACAAAACAGATTCTTGACCTCTTCCATGCATTAGGAAATGTACAAGTATACGCAGTGACAAATTAAATATTTCATTTAAAGGAACAGCTAACGCATGGGAACAATCGCGAACCATAAAGGATGGTATATTATCTGGTTCCTTAGTTAATTTAGATTTTAACTTTATTATTGCCTTCGATACATCAGATTCCTTAAATTCAGCTATATGCACATGTAAATTATTTGATGAATCACTCTCAAAGTCAACATCAAAATTTTATGAATTACTGTAGGAATTTTTAAAGTAAGTAGCAAATCCATTTACAATATCCTGCATGGTCAAATGATTTAAATCATCATAAGTTATAAATTCAGGTATTCCACCATCATTCCTTTTAGAATTTACGTATGACCAAAAGTTCCCACTATTTCTTTTTATATTCTCTTGTAATGTTTTAACGTAGTCTTTATGTGCTTTCTCTACGTCCTTTTTAATTTTGGATCTTAGCCGTTTAAATTCTTCTAAGGCATTTAAATCATTATTGCGCCTAAACTTTTTTCATGCTTTCTTTTTTTTTGTTTATATCGCTAATAATAGATCCGTTGAACCATGTAGGGTATTTTCTTGAAGTTGGAACATATTTGGGAATACATATATCCATCAAACCATGTAGTTGTTAATAAAATAACTTACATGCAGTTTCAATATTATTCACATTATTGAGAAAAGACCAGTCACATGCAGCTATTAGTTGATATAACATCATATAAATAGCTTTACGAAAGTTATACTGTAAATTTTTATTTACTGGATTAGGTTTACTACGAGGATTAGATATTTGAAAATTAATATTTAAAGCAGGGTGCAAGACATCTTCAGGAACCATCAAATCATATACCCTTTCAACAGTGCATGATTCATTACAAAAAACTAAGTCTAATAATCGATTGTTTATGTTAAATGTATTATTATATTGTTTGAAATGGTAAAGATGTACGAAAGCATTTAATTTAACTAGTTGATCAGTGAGAGGTGCCATATTAACATACTGGGGAATGTTAAAGTCTCCTAAAACAAATACTTTCTCGTAACCAACAAAATTTATGGTGGAGAGACAATCAAATAAGGCTTCATAATCAACAACTTTAAGACTTGGAGGAATGTAAACGAGTAGTATTAATATTTTGTAATAATTTAATGTAATCGAAGTGCCTAGAATATCAATAATTGGAATAATATCGCTAATAAATGTTAGATATACTTCATTACTAATAAATTTTTTATTGACAGCCAGCAAAACAGCCCCACCGTAATTTAATTTAACTCGAGAAGTAGATCTATCCTTTCTATATACCTGATAATTATCGGAAAATATATCACAGCTACGAAAAGATTCGTTTAACCAAGTCTCTGTCAATGCTACAAAATCAAAATCGGACTAAAGAGAAAACAAGTAAACGGTATTTATTTTAGTTCTAATTCCACGGACATTCTGATAATACAGATAGCAGGTCAAGTTTTTATTAGAAAAATTAAATGAATTATTTTGCGGGTATAGAGCTGTACCACCAATAGTTAATACATCCAACTGACTTGCGATTGCTATGCTACATAAAGTGAAGATTTTAATTCATCTATATGACGTTGGTAAGAATTACAATGGGTGTCCTATGCAGCATGATTTTCATTAATTTGAACCAGAGAATCCCGTTTCATCACCTTCACACAATTTAATTCATCAACTGAAGCTTTACATTCTTTTACAGCATGTTTTTCTGCACATCTTGGACAATAAATAGTACTAATTGGACAATTTTTTGAAAAATGATTAGAACCATTACAATTATAACACCTCTTAACAGATACACAATCATAAACAGAGCAAACATCAAAGCCAATAAATAGCTTACCTTCACCATTCGTAATGATATTATTATATGATGCAACATCAACCTGCAAAGTTCCTTGATAAATTTTTCTATTATTCTTAGTACAAGATATATCTAAAACTTTACATTCAATAGGATTAGAACAAAGTACAGATTGATTTTGATTTAAAACATAATGTTTAATTTTTTCACTATCTAATTCAGCCGACATTCCTACAACTCTTATTTTTGGTTCTATTCCAACCATATCCTTGATTTCATATTTTTCCATTAGATTAGAACCAGCAAGATTTTTTAATGTGGAAACTCCAGATTCAGGAAAGCAACCAATAACTGATCCCCCATCTCCAATATTCTTAACACTGGAGATCTGAATATTGGAGCCTACCGGATCAATCGCATTTAAAATATCTGCTTTGGTGACAGAATTATTTTGAGAAGAATCTTTCGGCTTTATTATAACTAACTTTTAAGTTTCGTGGAGTATAAATTATTATTTCCGGTACTGAATACAGAGGTCGCAGTAGTATTAGAGCATACACTGGGATTCACGTTAATTTCAGTAATTTTTTGAACAGCAGCCATTGATATTTTCTCCTTCAGATCTTCTTGTAAGTCTTCTAATCTCTTTGAGACTAATTCTGTTAGGTTTTTGGCAATATCTTCAGTTAGTTTTTTCGCCAGTGATGAAATCTCTTTCATAACCTTTTCTACTCCTTCCTCAGCTAAGTTTTTGACAAACTCAGGATTACATGATTTTAGGACTGCAAAACAATCAACGCAATACTAACCAAGACCTGAAATCTTACCTAAATATTTTGTAACATCAACTGGTACATTACAGCAGTGGATATGAAATTGTCGTTTACAGACACCATAGCAGGAAAGTATCGCCGGCGAAGTCCGAGTAAACTTTTTCTTGCATATTCTACATACCATATCTCTTCTCGCACTTAAAGATTTTCTTATTGTACATTACCAATAAGTGGTATCTTTGTTATTAACGCCACGTAGAAGTAATCATAAATTAATATATACTAACTCACACTTTTTAACAATAAATTATCAGAGAACATTTACGCACGACTTGACTCGACAACGCTATCGAATTTATGGGTGATGGACCTTTGTACAGTCTGTATATGACGGATCTGGCTTCGCTTTAAATCAATATGTGTAGATTTTGGATGATTTCTTATGCCTCTAATGGAGTTGTTCTTTTGGTTCTCATGGTTCGCATGGTTTTCATGGTTTCAGTTGAATGGCTCTAGCTTGCCGTGTAGATGACTACCATACCATCGATCCGTAAGTTGTAACACGTTTTATGACTCTGATATAAAGTAAAAGAGTAAATTTTGGTTGCAGTCCCTAATTTTCTATATAAGTTAAAGGATGTTGTGCTTTATTGAGTGACTTTTTGCAAGTGTTCATTCCATGATAACATATGGTCAAAATAAAGTATTTGGCTTCTGGGGTGGGATTCCGTTCTGTGTCGAGTAACTCGATCTCGATACGATTCATAATTCGATCGAATTATGAAAAGCAATTCTATCTGTTTTGACTTCGGAAATCTTCGACTCGGATTTGATATCAAACTCCATAATTGCAATTCCGTTCAACGAAATTCGACAATAAACTCGATAAAATAACTCGATAGCTCTAGAGTAGTCGATTCGATTTCAAATCATTAAAGTTTAATTTTTTTGACATTAGTTATGAACCTTTCCTGCAGCAATGTGCCTTTTCTAAATGCATTAAGGGCCTTATTTTCTCAATTAGGTATATATGTGTGCGTGGTCATTACTATTTCATAGGGACAGTATCTGTATCTGTAACGTGTGAAGGGTGGGTTAACTCATGGCAATTAGGCCTCACTAGGCCCATTGTGCATCCTCCCAATTAGATAGGTACCTACTAGCTCGTGAGCCATGGACAGTATTGCTATTTCTTAAACGGTAACAAATAGAAAAATGGTTGAATTTGATAAAAGTTTCAGTTTTGTGCTTATTAAAATGATGTGAGAAAACATTTGATATCTACAAAGAAATTCAAAATATCTGACAAAAAACGAATGAATGAATTTAAAGAAATTACAATTTGAATTTTTTGTACGTTATTTTAAATCTCCCTGTAGATATCAAATGTTTCTTGGCACTATTTTTAACCGACTTCAAAAAAGGAGGAGGTTCTCAATTCGTCACGATATTTTTTTTTATGTATGTTCAGCGATAATTCTTTAACACGGTGTCCGATTTCAATGATTCTTTTTTTGTTAGAAAGGGGGTACTTCAGGAGTGGTCCCATATATATTTGGTCAAAATATATTAATTGGGTTCATGAGAAAATCTTCAAACTCTTAATTTCTTATGTATGTTTAGCGATAATGCTTTACCACCTTGTCCGATTTATATGATCCTTTTTTGTTAGTAAGGGGGTACCTCAGGTGTGGTGCCATATAAATTTGGCACGTTTTTGAAGTCGGTTTCTTTTAATTTTTAATTTCTAATACTTCTAATAAGCACAAAACTGCGTAACTTTTCTCTTATTTAACCAACCATCTATCTGTTAGCGTTTAAGAAATATTAACACTGTCCCTATGAAATAGTAGGGACTCTGCATACTACTTTTATTTATTAATTACAGAAAACGCTATAAAATATAATTTAATTTAATATAATTTTATTCAGCCAAAAAAGCTATCCATAGCGATTTTCAGAGAGTTCGAAAGGATCGCTTCTTTCCCTTAGGTCATTATTTCTTTTGCACAAAGCACAACAATATTAAATAATAATCTTTTTACAATTAACCCCATTACGAGTGATCCCTGCAAATCTGAAAGCATATAGCTAGTATCGGGGAGGGACAACAGTATAATAATAATACTCTCCCTAATTCACCCCCTTACGAGTGAATTTTAACCCCAAAAGCTGAGCGTGTGCGGGGAAAGGGACAACAATTATTATTATTTGCCGTGGCTCACCGGGGCGACTTAAAGATGATTGATGGTGTCATTTGACTTACAGGTGAGGAAAACCCGGATATTATCGAAAACGGTAATGCATGGTGATTTTATTTTAATAAGCTGGATGTCATATTAACAGAAATTAAATTTCTGCTAATATGGTATCCATCAAATGCTACAATGAACCATGCAAATAAATTCACATGGTCTTACGTAGGATCTGAAACCGTATCTCGTTTTACCAGAAAATTGGCTGACAAATGAATGCCGCGCCGTAGACACCAACACCACCGTAGTCGAGTATTATTATTATTATTTGCCATGGCGCTCCAATGGAACTTACAGATGGTGTCATCTAACTTATAGGAGGATACCCAGAAAAAAACCCAAGCATCATCATAAAAAAATAAATTATTAATCTTATGGCTTATGGCTAAAACCAAATACAATACAATTTAATTGTTGTCGGGGAGGGACGACTATTATTATTTTCCATGGCGCTAAGCGGCAACTTACAGATGTCATTCAAATTATAAATGAGAATACTACGGAAGAACCCCACCCTGCATTCAGAGTTGCAAGGATCACTCATAATGGATTAAATTATACAAATATTATTATTTATTATTATTAGGCTAAAGAAAGGATGAGTTACAAAAAAGAAACAATCGTTTCGAACTTCCAGAAAATCGACGTGGAGAACTTTTTCAGCTGAATAAAGAGAACCTATAAATATTTATATTTTGTATCGTTTTGTATAATAACTAATCCTTTTATTGATATTCTAAGGATATAAAAGACCTCTGTTGCACGATAGGTTATCCAGAAAAGGCATTGCCAGAGACATAGGTATGCCCTGGAAACCAAATTCCTTTCTTCCCTAAAATTTTAAGCCAGAGGCTTATTATTTAATCTCATTGACAGGTCATATCTAATGTCAGAATAATCCAGCTTTAACGATTTGATATCGAATCGACTACTCGTTAAACGGAATTGCTTTTATGGAGTTTGATATCAAATTCGAGTCAAATCGTAAAACGGAATCCCACCCCTGATAAACGAAATATTAATTCATTTTCGTAATAAAGACTTTAGTCCTATCAATGTCTTTCGTTTTGAAAAGTTAACTATTGTGATTTTGTAGGGATTTATTGTCATTCACTCCTCTCTACACCACTTATCAACGGTTATTTTGGTATAGATGGAATGAGCTTTCCTAGTCGTCTGTTATTGATGGGGACCGCGTATAGTCCAAATAATTTATTTGTTTAAAGTGGGACATCCAACAACATCCAGCATAAAGTCATAATCTGTTACATTAAGATATCATTCAAATAACAGCAGTTTAATTTGGACACAGGTAGAAATAGCTCAGGGAATAGTTTTGCAAACAGCCTCAATAACTTTACCAGCCTGAAATTTTCAGTGAGACCTATGTATAATGTTATTGAAGACTACCTTTAATATCGTGAACTAAACAGCCTTTAAACCTGTTTCTTTTTAAAAAAATTCGTATATTTTTTATTTTGTTTCAAATTATTTAAATGGCCTTTTTATTATAAATATTATCAACTACCTATAAAACTTATAATTATCGGGACACACTGTATGTATTCTATGTAATAAGGATATAGAACAAACACAAAATGTAAATGTACTGCTAAATAAAAATCGATATTAAAGCTGAGAAATAATATTGTGTGCTAGAAACTCTCCTCTATCTCAATATCTATAAATTCCAATAGAGTTTAATAAAAAATATTTAAATCCTAATAAACTTTTTCGTGTTACAGAAAACGAATCTGATCAGCTCGGAGATGGAAGCGGCGGCAAAAAAACACAACCGGGATATCATGTCGTCAATATGCTGGTGTTGATGTCGGCCCTTCACCTCGCAAGATGACTTTACAGTCTCTAAACGTGACAACAATGTAAATGCTGGATATTTAGCTAACGCAAACAACGCTGGATATTACAAAAACCGGCATAGAAAATGAGATATGATATTCTGCTAGATGAAACGCTTTTTTACAACCGTTGGCTGCACGAAGATTTGATTGCATAATATTAGGATAATATCATATGGGTTGAATGAGAATATTTTTTAATGAGCCTAATTATTTATTAGAGTTTCGGAGTAACGACTAACATTTTTTACGTTATTATATTTTGTTTAGTCAAAAAATAGGACTACTAAGATGACTAGCTGAAAAATATTTGGTTTAATAGTTAGTCCGAGTAACGTGGTTAACAAAAGACTGAACATTTTGTAGGTGCGTCAGTAATATAGCTGCAATTGTGATATAGTATATTACATTACGAGTGTGGAAAGTGACATTTTTCATACGAGTGGACAGTATTGTGGCACGAGGTACAGGCCGAATGCGATAATCACACAAGTGTGAAAAATCACTTTTACATAAGTGATGTACAATAGTTTTCCTACCACAAAATATTTTTTTCAACAAATTGTTAAACCAAGAAATCTGGCTATAAAGATTTATTCAAAATATGGCTGGTTTTAGATTAATTTTTTATGTAGCTTATTGAATAATTTTTAAAATGTTTAAATGTTTCACCTATTGTGTTTTGTTAAAATTAAAAATGTGACTTAATTTACAAACACTTCCAACCGTAAAGTTTTTCGTTTGTTGATTTTTTTAAATAAACTAATGATGAGATAAACAACCGTCACCAAGTACATTTTTATTATTAAATCTACTTAACTACTTACAATTTTTTTTTTAATTTAATCAAAATGGTTTAAAATAAATAGCGAAAAGATTAACTGTAGATGTATCAAGATAAATAAATTGTACCTCTCTAAAATAAATAAATAACAATATTCGTAATTTTTTAATTTTTATATTTAAAAAAAAATGGTTCAATCGGTGGGGATTGAACCCGCGTTACGATGTGGTCGAAACATGCAAAGTTAATAAACTTAAACTCTCTATGAACTGATCTTATAATTGAATACGGACGTGTCGATGCGTATACCGGTTTTGCTAGAT